CTGTCTAATACTTTGATGTCCTTCTTATATTGAGTCGCCCAAAACTGCACACAGTACTCGAGGTGGGGCTGCACCAATGGAATGTAGAGTGGGACAATCACCTCCCTTGACTGGCTAGCTATGCTGTGCTTGATGCACCCCAGGACATGGTTGGCCCTTTTGGCTGCCAGGGCACCCTGTTGACTTGTATTCAACTTGTCAACAACCCAAACCCCCGGATCTTTTTCTGTGAGGCTGCTCTCCAGCCTCTTGTCCCCCAGTTTTTGCATATAACCAGGATTACTTCTGTGATCAGCATTCATGGACCCCAACACAGTCAAAAGTAGATTCCCAGGGGACCTCACTGACTAGCTCCTTCAGCAGCCCAAAGCCTGCTCTCCCCATATCCAGGGTCAAAGTTTTGCTGGCAGTTTTTCTCCTATTTCTAACGATCTGAAACTCAACTACTTCATGGTCAATGTGACCAAGACAGACACTAATCACCACTTTGCCAATGAGTCCCTCTCTGTTTACGAACAACATATCTAGAGGGCACCTTTGCTTGTTTGCTCTCTTAGTACCTGCACCAAGAAGTTGTCTTCAACATGCTTCAGAAATTTCCCGGACTTGTTTGTGTTTGCTGTATGGTATTCCCAGTTGATGTCTGGAAAGTTAAAATCACCCATGAGGAAAAGGGCAATTCATATGGACATATCCCTTAATTCCTTGTGGAATAATACATTGGTGCCATCGTCCTGTCTGGGTAGTCGATAGTAGACTCCTACAACAATATCTGTATTATTTGCTTTCCCCTTCATTCTTACCTGGAGCCTCTACATGGTGCTGTCACCAACTGTATGCTCCATACAACCCAATCCCTCCCTTACATACAATGCTAGCCCCTTCCCTCACCTGCCCTGCCTATTCCTTCTGAAGATCGTATAACTGTCCATCATGGCACATCAGTCACAGGACTCATCACACCAGGTTTTGTTTATACCAATGACGTCATAGCTCTGGGACTGGCCCAAACCTTCTAGCTCCTCTTGCTTTTTCCTCATGCTGTGTGCATTAATATAAAGACATTTCAAATGCACTCCAGTGTACTCAGTACATTGTGGAGTGGACTGAAGGACCTTGCTAGCGCATCATCCCTCAAACACTGACGTGCTGCCCCCAGGGTTATCTCTAGCGAGCGTGGTTTTATCCCTTCCCTCCTTCAAATATGGTTTAAATCTCTTTCAGTGACCCCTGCTAACTCCTGTGCAAAGATCCTTTCCCTGCTTTGAGGCAGGTGTACTCTGTCTGTCACCAGCAGGGTGTCGTGTAGACTGACCCATGATCAAAAAACCTAAAATTCTTCCAGTGACACCAGTCGTGGAGCCAGACATTGATCTGCTGGCTCTTTGTGTTCCTTCCCTCATCATTCCCTGAAACTGGAAGGATAGAGGAGAACACTACCTATACTCCTGATCCCTTAACCAGGCTTCCCAAGGCCCTGAAGTCTCTCTTGATTGCCCTCGGACTTCTCATTGCAACCATCATCTCTGCCTGCATGAGAAATCAATAAAGGATAAAAATCCGAGGGCCCTACCAGGGTAGGAAGTTTTCTATTTATGTCTTTAACCCAGGCCCCAGGGAGGCAGCAGACTTCCCTAAGAGGTGGGTCAGGTTGGCATATTGGGCCTTCTGTTCCCCTCATGAGAGAGTGTCCTGTGACAATGACTTGTCTTTTTTTCTTTATGGAAGCAGTTTTGACACAGAACATAAGCCAAATTAACCTTGGTGACACCTCCAACCTGGATGAACCATCATCCTCATCATTGTTTGGTTCCACTTATGCAAGGGCAGCTGGGAAGGTGGGGTAGTCACAGAGGAGACGTGCCTGCTGTGCTGCGCAGGACCTTGTTGCCATTCTCCCCTATCTCTTAAGTCACTGTGTTCAGCCAGGCGGAGAGAGGATAGTGAATCCTCCGTATCATGCATCCTGTCTGCCTGACAAGTCTGTCCCAGGGAAGGTACGGTGCTGTTCCAACAATCTGTCTCTCTCCTAGACTCCCAACATAGTGCAATGCCATACTATGTTGACTATGCTGCATTAGATAGTGAAAATATTACAGTCCTGATAGTATAGTACTTTTTACACAAGAATATAACTCCTATCTACTTGCCCAAGTAAGAGCCACTGTAATTTGGCTTTGTAATTTCTCTTTCTGGTACCTATGCCTGAGAAAATATTCATATCCTAAACTCTGTCTAATGTTTTCAGACACTTATAGAGAGGTTTTATGTGTCAATATGCTCGCAGAGGTGTACCACAGAAGGATACACATTTGATGCAACAGTGCAATTACATCCAAGACAGCAATTTCTCTCTGCATTCCTTACATCAACAAGTCTGACACTTTCTTAGCCCATGGCCAAGAGTACAGGACAAGTAATGGCCTACTCGCAATACTACAACTCAAAAAAAAAAAATCTGGAGAGAGCAAAATAGAGCAATACAGGAATTTCTTCCTATTTTCCTTTTGATGGGGATGTGCTGTCATGGTAACAAAAATATTTTTTTCTTCTTTTTTTCATAAGTTTCTCACGCAAGATTCTGTACTAAAAATGCTTGAATTGCATGATGTATGAAAAAAGATATAAATTTTAAAATATTTTCTATTTGATTATGTGATAGTATATTTAACTGTTATACAAATATATGAAGACTTTTTAACATACTGACTTTAAAATTTCTAATTAATTCTATTTGTCTCAGAAGTTTTATGTAGAATGTTCTTTTAGAACATTTCTCTCCTTCTCCACTCAGTCTTTAGTTTTGAGATTACAGAGTACATTTGTTTAGGATGGAAAATTAAATTAGTGTTATAAAGAAATTAATTAAATTTGAGGAAACCTTATATAATTGTGTCATCCACTCATGGACCAGAGGTGAAAATATGCCTCTAAGGATCAGCCATAAAGCTAAAAGCCATAAAGATAAAAGTAAATTCTACATACCAGGTAGTCAGTAGTCTGGCAACTGAATGACAACATTTTAAAAGTCCAGGAACATTATAGATTTTATCCTATTTAAAATTCTCTAAATTATGGTCATTTTATTAACAGAATAAAGTCTGATAGAATAAAGTCTGTTTGCACAACTATTTGTGCAATATACAGGGTTAATAGTTTAAATACATCCACCTTTTTTTGGGTTTTTTTACTTATCACTGTAGTTTTTTTGGATATTTTTCTTATCATCTTATCTCTTTTTTCTTATGTATTTATTTTGTTGCAGTGTTGCAAAATTTGCACTTTTAAAATTTGTATGATCTATGTGGATGTGCAGATACACTGGGACCTTGCATCCTGAATATTTTAGAATCACTGAAATTATGTCTTGAGTGTTTGAGAACACTTAAGAAAAAGATGATCTTTGTGGAACTGAGGCTGACAAAATTAGGAATACATAGATTATAATTGAATGTTATATAATAGCATAACATTTAATGAAAGCAATGAATCATTTTGATAAGATCTTCCCAAGAATATTTTAAGCAATGCCTTCTGGAATTTATAGAAAGGACATGAAAAATAAAGTAGAAGCTCTAAGATGTCTTTTTTCAACCCAACTGTAATCTTGCCATATACTTCTCTAGAAAATGTAGTAATGCTCTTTCAAGATAGCTCTTTCAAGCTATATACATTTACTGAAATGTGTGATTCTAGAGAACTGTTCAGTAAATTAATAAACCAGTATTACATTTTGTTCTATTTTGGAACAGTAAGAAAGAAGACTTTTTAGTTCTCCTCTTTCTGTGGAGTAGTTTGATGGGATTCCAGTACAGCCCTGTGCAATCATCTGACGGATTTCTTCCTCTTTCTCTTTTTATCCTTTATGCTAAAAACTGCTTGCTGAATGTTGGGACTTTTAAAAATGACTCAATCACAAATTAAACGTAGTTTGAAATATCTTGTTAAGAATAGAATATTATTAGTATTATGCTTCCACATATTGCTGCACAGTTTTGCTGAGGCCGTTCTCTTTCAATAATTTCAGTATGTATTTTCTTACTCTTTCAGCATTTTCCAAAGCCCAGGAAAGTAAGTACTAAAACTTCAATACCTGTGTATACAAAACATCTCAAAACACTGATCTAGTTCAGGCAGTGGTAGTAATTCCGATGGTAATAATAGCCAAAAGAGATATTGAAGCTATTGTGTATTTTCTGAATATTTAGAAATTAGTATTATATCTACAGTTATACAGTGAATAAGTGAATATTAATTTTTAAAAAGAGACTATATATTTTTAAGCTTTTCAAAATTCTTCCTAAGGAATTGTATGTACCAATTAATAACAGCTCATATTCCAAAATGCTATTGTTTATGAATCCAACCAGCTGGCATGATCCAGGCCACAACTTTGAAAGTAAGATAGGAATGGAAAATATATTGCAAACAGAAGAAAGATTAACTCAAATGGCTGTTTAAGATTCTTGAAACTGCCATTCATGAGTGAGTTAAGGGAGGAACTGAAAGCATGAGAGAATTTCTCCATACACTAAAAAACTGAAAGCAAAGAGCATAGACTGTGTCTGCCTTCAGGTGGTGCATCAACAGCACATGAGTAAATGTGTAACTCAGCCACAGAAAGAGTGAAAGTGGAGACAACTCTCCATTCACTGCTTACTACTGGGGACCTCTAGTGAAAATGAAAGCATCAACTCATTGAGCTTTCAACAGACGAATTTAGTGATCTTATTCTAACAGTTCCTAAGGAGGAGGGTGAGTTACCATTAACTACTTTCTATTTATATTTATATTACAAATCACTGTAAATTAATAATTTGAATATTCTAAGTAGAAATAGATCTCAAATCACAAAAATCTGTTTCTGGGTGCAATTCCAATACTTGAACAAACAAACCAAAAAGAATGATACTTAACCCATCAGGTAGAATTCCAAACATGACTGACTTTTCATCAAGTAACACAGAACAGGCATTTGTGCCTCAGTATAAAGCACTCACCCACTACTGACATTTCAGGAACACTAGCAGTGTAAATTTCTTCGGGAAACGTTGGTTCATTGTCATTGATGTCATGGATTTTGATGACAAACTCAGATTCAGGTTCCACTGGTCTCAGAGTTCTTCTATTAATAGCTTGGGCACGCAGCGTGTAAAAGGCTTTCTCTTCCCTGTCAATTCTCCGAGTAGCATGAATGTCACCTGTTTTCTCATCAATTATAAAAAGAGTACCAGCCCCATCTCCTGACAAAATGTATTTGAGGGATCCATCTCCCTTGTCCTGGTCAGAATGAAGCTGAAAAAGAAGAAAAATAAGAGCATTTTATTTAGAAGTAACAAAATAGTTTGTTTTGTTTTGGTTTTTTTTTTTTAAATAATTATTATAGATTAAATAATTCTGTGTGCAACAAATACATTTAACACCAACAAAACAAAATAATTTTCAGTCACCATTGACTGGCAGTCATGGTGTCATACTGAGGCATTTCTTTCCTAACATAGCTCCAAGAATCTTTTACCTTTACTGTTGTGGCAGATTTTAGTTTTGCAGCAACACCTGTTCTCTGCTAAGAAACCTTTGCACCACAATTCTTAAAGAAGATATTTATGTTAATACTGACCTTTTTCTTCCTTGAAGACATCCTATTAAAAATTCACAACCTGCTGTGCTAGTTGTAAATTCACTAAGCAGATAAAGAACATGGCAGAATACATGACAATTAAGGAAAATAGAACAACTGGTTCCATGTCATACTATTTTTTTAAATTATTTTTTCATATTCTTTATATTTCTCCTAAATTTAAGAACATTTTGTTTTAAGTCATTATCATTTTTACTCCATCAACTAATGTAAATAGCCTAAAGGAAAGAAACAAATTTATTAAGTATTCAGTACTGCTTTAATACCCATTATGTAAGTAATATAAAGCTTAACTTCATCTATTAATGACCTGTAGTACTGACTGACTTTAGTACATCCATAACAAAAAAAAACCCTATTCAATTATGTTGTTTTGTTTGATGCAGTAATGTGGTTGGCTCATCTGATCTTTTGGACATGCTTACCATAATTTCTGTCATCCCCTTTTTGGAAATGTCCTTCCAGTCTCATTGATTTTATAATTAACTGAAAGAATCTGGCATTCAGATTTGTTTTCACCATTAAATGTATCAAGTAAAAGCCCTGATTACAAAAATGCTATACAAATATAAAGACTTTTCACACTCAAAAGTGTCAGAATGTTCCAAAAAGTTTAAGACCGAACTAGTGCATTTTTTTTCCTTTCTAAAAGTAGTTATTTGAATGCACCTTAACAGAATCAATTAGAACTGCAGTAAGATCATACTTAGTCATGTGAAGTTGTTTATTTAAGCAGATATTTCAGATCATGAAAAACATATATGTAGCTTAGTATAAATATCCCCTCGTATTGTCTTCCATAGCATCCATTTCAACTCATTATCAGAAGTAGAATATCCAACTATCGGGCATTTGAATGTGGCTTTCCTTGCCTTTTGCAGTGAAACAAAACATACACAGTGGACTGGTGGGATGAGCTGAAGTCAAACAGTAAACTTTGCTGCCGTAAAACATTTTCAAACACTGAATGTTTCCAACACGCTCGCAATATGTGGAACAGAAGGAGCTCATGGAATCTGGGACCTAAGCCTTTATGGCAGAAATTTAGAAACCTATCATCGGTCTGAACTTTGATATTCTATATAAAGATTTTCCTATTTTATTTCAGTTCAGAAATAAACCTTGAGAAACACTGTAAATATTTGTCAAAGAATGACGAATTAAACTGCTTACATTACATACATGTATGTTTACTTTATAAAAGACATATTTTCTTACTAATATCTTTATTTCATTCTATAATACATAAAGAAATAGGAAGCTCCACGAAACATGAAGAGTAAGAAAGCAGATATTAAGAGAAATCCTTTACAAATAAATCCTGTTCTTCCTTTTCCTTCAATTTCTCTTGCTGACTTCAAACTGAAGGCTTCAAGCCATTCTCACTCCTCTTTTGTGGACGAAATTTTTATTGTGAACTTTAATTCCTCCTGCTCCTCTCTGATGGCCCATTAAAGTTGTGACCTTTCACCCTTTCAAGTAACATACTTTTTAGGGGACTGGACAGTATCTTCCAGGCTGTGGCCTATTTTATAATGTCATTTAGTGTAAGTGTTTTCTTTTCTAGGTCTTCCTAGGATGCCACGTTATCTTCAGAACGTTTTGGTCCTAAGAGCTCACTGGTGGTACATGACCACTAGATGCAATATTTTCACAGCAGAGTGATGAAGACCAGTTATAGGAGGCTGCTGTTCCTTAGACATGTGTGCCAGAAAAACAAAATAAAGGCCCATTTGAGCAAGAAAGATGGGGAGAAAAATAATCTTTAAATGGGCACATTGCAGTTTTTCCATATGCTTTCCAAAGTCAGATCTAGTATTATAAATTCTTACAAAATTTGACGATAGTACATTGTGGCTGCAGTGCCTGTTCTTTTATCAGAAATGGGTTAGCAGAGTCTGGCAAAATCCATTCTAACAAATTGTCTATCTCCAGAATAGCATAACCTCATGCAAACTGTTCCCAGGAATAGTATCTAGCCAAATTTAACTCACAAATCATGCAAGGAAATTGTTTTGGAGAGGGATATTTAGCAAAAGCAAGCCAAGAACTTGTAAAATAATTTAGCAATCCCAATAACTGCATTCTGGTGCCTGAGAATGTATCTTGGCACTAGAAGCGCAAACACAGTGTAGTGAACAGAACTAAATCAGAAAATGAAGAAAATCCCTATGCTACAAACTATGAAGCTTTTGAACAACTATATTTAGATCCAATTCAGGATGCAAAGATATTTCAATATACTTATTTGTCTAATACATAAGGTACTATCAATGTTAGTGGTTTTGCATTCCGTGTCCTGTAGCTATGCACATGTCAAAAATTCTCACTGAGCTGATTTGGAACTGAAAAATATTCTCTTTACACCACTCACAAAATCATTAACCTCTTACCTCTGCCAAATTCAAACTTTATAGAGTTTTTTTCCCATCTATATTAGCCAAAAGACTGGGAAGGGAGCTGAACATAAGATTTTAAGACATCCATATAAAGGCTTTTAGGGAGCTGATAGTTGCACTTCAAAGTAACATATTTGTATGGAGTACAAGCCTTCATAGTTTAGAAGAACACTTTAAGCTACAACATTTTGCATGTTCTAAAAAATGTTAATAATTTCACTTTGGATTGGTAATCCATTTTAAATTTTATGTATACACATAACAGTCCACAGTTATTGTGGAAAAACTTCAAATTCAGAATGACATTTCAGAAGGTCTTCTTGGGTGATCAGGAAACATAAAGCTATAGATACAATGAACAAGGCTGGCACACGTAAATAAAGGAGTGAAAATGTGTATTATATAAAAGCAAGGAAAGAGAATACCTCATTTCATTTTCTTAGCTCTTAATTCAATCCAGATGTTATTAGAAGAATCAAGCTGGCTAAAGACCACCCTATATGCTTGGACACTGAATCTGACATTGAATTGGACCCAGCTCTGAAATGTATGGGCAGTGTGCCAATCCACACTGCAAAGTTTTGTCATTTCACCCTAGTACTAAAAAAAGTTCTGCAAAATATTTCTCTGCTACTTTTAGTATTAAGTGTTTCCTATAGTTATTTTGGTTAATGGGCATCTGTGATTCATGTCAGCCAAGCTGAGAAATAGAGAGACATCTGTTTCATTTAGCAATTTTATTGCACAAAATGATCAGCTGTGAAGATGTGATTTGTTTTCATATCTGTCACTGATATTTTACAAACTCTTGTTTCAGTGAATTTCTTGCTGTTCTTCCACAGAAATACTTCCTTTTCAGCTGTCAGTGGTAGATGTACTTTACATATAATTTTTCTCACTGTATAAAAAATAAAAATGTTTGTTGGTTTTATTTTATATAGCCCTGTTTCATCATACAGTAATTGCAATTACTGTGAAAGACAATTTTACATGTTTGGTAATCTATCTAAACTGGTTGAACAAACTTTTAAATTGAGAAGGATTTTATAAAAATGAAAAAGGAAGGTATTGCTAAACATGATAATATTTAGAGAGGGTAACAAAATGGTGTGTTACATGAGTATTTAAAAAAGAAACTGAGTTTCCAATCCAAGACAGAGAGAAAAACATGTTTTAAAAGATGGATTTCTTTTCTATTCAGTTACAAACAGAGTTCATTATGGATAGAATGTGAAGAGGTGTCTCTGAAGAATAGCCATGAGCAGGCTGAAAGCTTATGGGTGAGAATTAGACACAGAGGTAACAAAGAGAACCTTGTAGTTGCTGTCTACTACAGGCTGCCTGACCAAGGGGATCCTATTGACAAAGTCTTCTTACTTCAGTTAGAGGAGGCATCACGCTCACAGGTTCTCATCCTGCCGGGGGACTTCAACCACCCCGACATCTGCTGGAAAATTAGCACAGCATGCTGTAGGCAATCCAGTAGACTCCTGGAATGCATTGAGGATAACTTTTTAAGCCAGGTAATAGACAGTCCCACCAGAGGGAATGTGATACCGCACCTGTTGATCACCAACGCAAGTAAGCTAATCAGTGACGACAAGATTGGAGGCAGTCTGGTCTGCAGTGATCGTGCACTGGTGGAGTTTACAGTCCTGAGGGATATAGGTCAGGCAAAGAGTAAAGTCAGGACCCTGAATTTTAGGAAAGAAAACTTCCAGCTCTTCAAGCAGTCAATAGGACTCCCTGGGAAACTGCCTATGATGGTGTGCTCCCCCACAGGCAACAACCTGACCTTTACCTCCCATAACCCTGCCCAAGCAATAACGACCCATGGCAATCATAGTGGGTGCATCTAGTCGTGACGGCTGCATCCGGGGCTCAAAGGTGGTTTCAGGGAGACAGATAACAACACAATAGCCAAGGGTTTACTTAAGCAATGTGCCCACCTCACCACAATACTGGTACTATGGTCAATATGCAAATATGACTACAAGTCAGTCATCTTACCCCCATAAATAGTGAACAACCCAAGAGCCTTTGGACCTCTCATGAATGGCAGCGGGCTGTACACCAGGATCTTCCCTTGAGTAGGGTCACCTCTCAAGATTACTCCTTGAGGTTAAGAGATTCCTTGCTGCAATAGATCCTTGCTAAATGGTTTATAGGATGATAATTTTTGAAATTCTTAGCTAAGTGATATAAAGGATTGATTGTGCATATAAAATCCTTTAGACATACGCTGTTGATCAAGT